CGCCAATCTATCCCCGTTCGCCTACCCTAATGTCTCGGTATATACCAGATCGAGCGCTCAGCTTTCCTAGCAGCTTCGCTTGAGACTTCAACCTCGACCGTTACCGTGCTTCCATCTAACCGACCAATGTTCCCTGCATATTGTTCACCGGGACGCAAAGGTCTTAGCTTAGGTGTGGCTGATGCCGACGTCGATGCCGACGCCGATGCTGACGGCCTCTCATCCGACGATGAGGCAGAACACGCTTTTTCTAGTGTCGGTCGTCTAGGTTTTGATGATCGTTCTTGGGTAACAGGCAGTTGGATTGGGGCGCCATTATTGCATACAGGTATACATGGAGGGTGCACGATGGTTTTCGTGCGTTTCTTCGGTGAAGTGCTGGAAGTCGTGGTTGTCGAGAAGGAGCTTGCACTCGTTCGGTCACTAGAAGGGGATAGTGAACGAGTTGATGATGATGATGAACTTTGGTCGGCCGTGTATCCAGACGTTGCGGGCGAAGTGCCAAAGAGGCATAAGTAAGACATCTTGCGTGTCTATAAGTTGGACTCAGGGAGGGAGTGTGACCAGTCGATTGCTATTTGCTTTGCGTTCAGATGTCGTAAGGCTTGTCCAAAGTCTCACGGGGGCTAAGGTGCGTCGTTTAACCAGGTGGCTGCGCCTTCATTCATACAACCGATTTGGCGAAGGTCTTTCGGAATCGTTGCTAGCGAGCCGGTTGAGTCTGAGTGGGTTTGGCGGAACATTATGGCGCTTTGGAGTATGTGATGCAACCACTGTATCGTGAATGGACCTTATCGCTGAAGAGTAAGTGAATAGTGTCAGACAGCGTGAAGAAACGAAAAGCACAGGCGAGTTCTTTTGACACAGTCTCATTTGGTATAGTACTGTATCCACAGTGCTCGATCAAAATCTCCAGAAGCTGGCTGATACCAGTCATACTCATAGTAGTAGCAACGTTCACCTGGGAATAATAACGCCTTTCCAATGCCAAACGCCAGCGGCTATGCATCCCTCCAGTCAATGCAATCGCTATGTCGGAACCCATAAAATCATAATACAATCGTGTCGTGCCATTTTGCGCCATTCCCATGCTAAAACGCCTTAAGATCCCAACTTTTGCTTGCGTCGGTCATCGTTGCATGTACATGCCGGTGGTGACCATAACATTGCCATAGCGCTCGTTAGCGCGCCAGAGGTACTTTAGGAAAACGATAGCTTTCAGGTAGACTTTCATAATGCGCCTCCGTCGGACGCGATCGGCTTCCAAAATTTTGCGCAGTGCCTTGGAGACAGCAAAAGGTGAGGCGACCTTGCGGGATGGTGACTGGATGATGGCGGGCCACGACGTCGCTCGGGTCAGCGTCGGCGGACTCAGGTCGGAAACCTCGGGTAAGAAAGCCGCTGGGGTCTCGGGCGCGTCGTTCAGTGAAGCAGGACCGAATTGGGCGTCGAGAGGTTCATACTCGAAGACTTCTGGAATGCTTCCAAGCGTGGGAGAGAAGGCCGCTGAGCGGGGAGTGCCGGGTTGGTGTGACATTTGAGTGGTAGTATTTTCTTTTGGTGGTGACTGTCCTCTTCTTGGTGGTGAGGGACGGGCAGGTTGATGTTGCTGCTTGGGTGCGCGTGGTGAGAGTTGGATGGAGGGTTGGCTGGCTGGCCAGAGCGGAACGGAGAAACGCCTAAACATGGAGCCCGTTTGTTTTGCTGACTGATTGAGGAGAGCGTCGCATCGTTGCGGTGAAAACAGCAGCATGTCGGACAGTGAATGTGTTGCACGACGAGGCTGAGGTGAGGACGAGATTGGGAAAACGAAGGAAAGCAAAGCGCTGGCGGCACCGCGGATTAAGGCTGACTTTCACCCATTGTTAGTCGTGTGTATAAACAGTTAATCCCCGCTTTTGCAGGACGGGAAGGGCACTAGGCACTGGGGCCCAATGATGTTAGCATACGGGCGACGGTGATCGTGTGGACAAACGCGTTTGTTTTGCAGACAACACACTGGCAAGCCACTTCCCGTGGTCACACGAGCTGGGAGCACGCTGACCTTTGACGAGAAGACGCGTCGCTGCTGCCTCACACTCCTGGGTGGTTTGCGAGGAGGTGAATATTACCCCGCTCAGGCATTGTGCGATTGTAGATGAGGCATGACGTCGCTATGGAAAAAGTTTGGATCGAGAGATCGAGAACTCACATCAACCGGCGCAGAAGCCGCCAACGGTAACGCTAGCCTCTAGCCCAATCACGCGTGAGACGCCCCTTCCTGTCCCCAACTCCTTCACACCACCATTGACTGCCTCTACCACATGGCCAGGGTGATACGCCGTCTGTGTGCAGCCGCCTGATGCAGCGCATCGCAGATGCAAGCGTGCGTGTCCTTTGATGCGTCACCGGGTAGTCAGAGCCCTGCCATGTCGCTTTCAGCTGGCTTGTCCTCCGCGGACTGCCCTTGCCGTGGCCTGCGTCTCACCGATGAGGGCATGCTCAGGCTTTGCACGTTTCACGGCGACGCCCAGCAAAGATAGGCATCAACTGAGCAGTAATCATCTTCTGCGCTGAGATAGATGCAGAAGGTCCTCGGCACCCTTGTACGGCGGTAACCTACCGCCTGCTTGGGATGCGGAGAAGCCAAAGCTATACAGCACCAAAGTTCCTCCCATCTCCCGCTGCAGGTCTGCCTGTCTGCCATTGCCTCCGCGACGTCGCTTACGACGGATTCTTTCGCTTTTGCTACTACTCTGCTTAGCCGCCTCTAGCATCGACTAGGCTGCCTGACTCCGAGTCACCATCAGCAAAATGACGTACACCAGGAAGCAGGTCGTGACTTGCATCAGCGTGCTAGTAGGGTCTCATACGGTGCGAGCTTTCACGTGCGCGTTCTAACAGTATCCAGTATCTCGTCATCGCAACCGCGCTCGCAGGGTAGACTCACATCGTAACCGACGATGCTAGAAGCGCGCTAACACGCCTAGGTGGGCTGCCTCCCGCGCGAACGCTCGTTCTGTGCCCATCTCCGACACATTGACCGGCTTCACTACGGCTCTACCCATCGTCTCAGGCCTCCTGCTCGAGTGCGGCTATGACTTCACGCGTCGGCAAGAGCGTCGCAAGCATCTGGCGCGCGGCGAGATCCAGCGCCCGCCACTCGTAATCATCGCGAACACGCTCATCTTCATCTACTCGTCGGTCGTCATTACCCTCGTCGGCACTCATGCCGCGCCGCCTTCTGGATTAGACTGCGGATTGCGCGAGCGCTGGCAGACGTTGTTCAAGCACAAGGATGCGAGTGCCATCCGCCAGATCCAGGATGCCTTTGAGTGCTGTGGCCTAGCCAACGCGCGCGACATGGCATGGCCTTTCCCAGACAAGACACACAAAGCCGACGCATGCCAGATCACGTATGCTGGCAGAGCTGATGGCTGCTTTAGGTTTTGGAAGGCTGAGGAGCAAGTAGTTGCCGGCATGCTCATGTCCGTCGTGGGCATGGTTTTCATCTGGCAGGTACGTAGTGGGGTTGTAGCGCTCTGAGATGCCAATGCTAATTTGACTCCCTAGATCCTTATCATCGCCATCCCCACACAGAAAGAGTCGTGGCTGCATCGCATCGCGCCAGAACGCATCTCCCGCATGATCGCCGACGAGCGCAACGGCGACACCGAGCCTCGACGAGCCATCGATTACATACCCGGCTACAACAGCAACCGCTACTCTGACCGCATCGAGGAGGAGACTGAAGAAGACATCCAGGACTCAGTCCGTGCTATTGAGGAGGGCAATCGCCGCCTCGATGGCGCGCTGCCCGGGCATGTTGACCGCGACCAGCAGCCTAGTGTCGAGAACGAATGGGCGAGGAACTAGGTCGTTGCACACATGCGGGCTGTGGCAGTTTGCAAAAACACGCTCGATGTTCGGGAAGCGGCATGGCACAAATATGGGGTGCTAATTCTGCGCGAAGTCGCAGCTCTGCGCATCTTGACACTGGTCATATCATCCTGACTGCGACTAGAGGCGGGCACACACAAGGCCAGTTCGGCTGGTCTAGCGTATAGTCTATGAGACAACATCGTCCACGACTGTAGTGTCGTCTTCAGCATGTCTTTCCCGAGTCAGACAGCATGGGCTGTTCCAAACAATGCAACGTAGTGTCTTATATCGTCAACCATGACTATTTCGCGCATACTTTCGACCGCTTTTCATTCACAATGCACTTCAACCTCGTTCGTATATACTCAAATCAACATGTTTGCTCACAGCGGACTGCTCAAGGCAGACCGACAGAGCGGTTTAATAGACTTATAAAACGTTCGACTATCGAGTCCTATATACCCGCAGACCCTCAGAATCGACATTTCACACGCACACTAGCAAGTATCACCCAACTCTATAATGTCTTCAACGAACAACACCACCACCTATCTCTTTTCGAACAGGCCGCGCCTAAATAGTGTAAACACAGCCCACACGTTCGATGACATTCTCCCACCAGAGAGAATGACGACATGGGAAGACTTGGACGCCAAAAAGAAGGACAAACTGTCCCACAAGGTCAGATCCAAGGTGGGGAGTACCGCAAAGTCCGCTTTGGCCAAGACCAAGGAGAAATTGGCGGAGGGCAAGGCGAAAAAAGAAGCCAAGAAGGCGGAGAAGGAGGAGGGGCAGAAGACAAGGATCGATTCCGTAGTGGATTGATTTAGTTGGTGGAAGAGGAGGATGGTCGTGCATAAGAATATGTAATGCGGTGAAATGAAGTTTGTTTGACAATTTAAATTCTGAGCTTGGTGATCACTGTATATCTGATCGAGTAGGCGTCCTAGTGGCTCTTATTGTTGCATACGTGTCGACTCTCTTGGGGAGAAAGTATTCACTCACTCCAGTGCTGATCGTTGATAGCCTGTATGAATGCATTGACTATTGACTCAGAGCTAAGAGGTGGGACGCTGTCTATGGTGCTCTAGCAATCTTTCTTGTCGGGATGGTTTGGTGATGAGAGCGTCAAATTACTCTCATAAGCGATACCCTATGCGCTGTATCTTTGTTTCGCTGCCATCCGGATCCCAGGCTATGACTCGTATTTGGTCTTCGATAGGTGATGCTTGATGGAGTTCTAACTCGTCGCTTACAGCTTCGTCCACGCAAGCAGACGCGAGACTGGTACTCGGCTCATAGAAGACCTCTTCATCATTATCCTGGAACTTGGAGTCTTCCCAATCGGGTGCATGCGCTTTTTCCAGACTGTTCCCATGCCTTTCCGTTGCTTCCTCGGTGTCTGTCGCTGTATCATCTTGGTCGAGTGGTGGAGGGTCTAGAGAGTCCTCCTGGTCGCTCTCGTGATCGTCGAGCTTTGACTCCTCTATAGGAATCGTGTCCTCATCTTTTTCAACTTCTTGATGCTTGGGTTGGACGACTGATTCGAGCAAGACATCATCGACTGGTGGTGTAGGTCCAGGATGCATGGGCGGTGGGCTGATAACGTCTGCATCGTCCTCGATTACTTTGATGGCCTCATTCTCCGGACTTTGGCTGGTGGTATCTTCAGTTCCAGAAGAACCATTATCGGGTAGATCGGCATCGTACACACGTAGCCATGGCGCATGTACCTGCTCAGTAGTACTACCGTGGTCGTCCGACAGCCGATGTAAACTTCCACTGACAGAGAACATAGGCACTCGATGATCGTTCACCGCAGCCTCCAGTAACGCAGCTTCTTGGCGCTCAAGCTCAGCTCTCTTTGCAGCAAACTCTCTCTTGATATCTGCTAATCTTCCGTCCAGTAACTGCTTGTTGCGTACAAGCTCTTCAATAGCATCATGAGTCCTCTGCCGTAAATTCGAGAGAAATACGTCGCATTTGTCGTCATGTAAGAGCTGCGCAAGAAGTACAGCATCGGTAAGGTGCTGTAAGAGTTCACCGGAAGACAGGCGAACTCGGTGGACGGCGTTATGTCGGAGCTGGATTACCGATTCCATGAGACTGGGCAAAGGCTTTACATCGCCTTTCACGTCGTCCAGGTTGAGTTGTTCTCGGTAGATGAGTAAAGTCCTGGCCCATTGGTTCAGTTCAACTGCCTCAGCGCAGTCCCAACCTTCTCGATATAAAAGCCCAGCTAGCCTCTCCTGAGCAAAATTGAAGCATGTCTTTTCAAGAGTGTATTGAACTCTGACGAGGATGCGGTGCTGGTCCCAGAGTGGTAAGGCTACGGAATCGAACGACTGCGTGTGAGAGGCTGCTTGAATTCTCATCAGCACGGCTTGAGAATACTTTGATTCCACATACCAGTCTCGATCTTCTCTCTCTCCTTCCTAGCTTTGAGCCTGTCACCGATACCCATGAGTTCCTCGGGACTATAGACCCCTTCTACGCGCTGCATAGCTGCTGCACTACTTGCTGCAGTGCTGGACTCGGTAACTGCTGGCTGCACAGCCGCTGCGCTGTTCGTTCCAGTCTGGAACACGGGGGCATTTACTGGACTGGGCTCATTCGAAAGGCTTCCAAAGACATCAGGAAAGCGTGTTTTCGCTTTCTCGGTTGAAGCAAAGACCTGGTTTCCTGACAGAGCGAAGGCTACCGCGGTAACACCTTCCACTCCATATGTTTGAACCAGAGGCGCAACCTTGGCGTCATATCTATACTTCTCAATATTCTTGCGAATCTTTTTCGCAGTGCTAGGCGGTGTTGGACCAATGCTGAAGATGTCCTTGAGCGCCAGGTACACTTGCTTCTCGGTCAACGGAGGAGCGGCCATGATTCTTTATAGTACAATTTCAGGTAAAAAGGGAGGGGAAGCAGTAGTATTGTACATCGCGTTTCCGGCCTTCGTGGCTAGCTATATGTAAAGGCGCCTCAACCGCTGCGCCTCAATGTTGCCTTGAGGAGCTTGCGCATAAACATTCACTCAGCTGGAAATGCACCCCGCGCCTGGATGTCTTGCCCAGCGAATGATTGACCCGGGTTGACGCCATACCTGTGGGCTAGGCTGCGAGCCTCAGGCGTGGCTTGCTTTCCGACGTGGCTTCCTGGCGTAGAAAGCCGAACACGGATCCCACTCCCGTCCAAATTGAGGCTCGGTACATAGCAAACGTCTGCCTGAATGGGGGGCTCGTGAATGCCTATAGTCTTAGGCCTGCGAATAATGCTCTCGCTGGTGTGTCGCGTCATATGAATCCATCGCGGTCGCAATGTGGTGGTATTGGAGAGAAGCAGGTGCGGTGCGGGCCGGCGGCAGGAGCCCTGACCCTTGAAATTCGCCGTTCCAGCCCCCCGAATTTGGCGCCCTCGTCTGACGCGACAATAACACGGTCGGCGCGCCAAAGCATTGCCATGGGTTCACGTCAATTAAGGCAAAAGCTGAACACTCTGGAGCCTACGTTAAGGCCAGGTTTTCTAATCTGCTTGTCTCATCACAGTGTAGTCTGCAGACCTGTTCAGTTTCTACATCTTTGAGGTGAAGTAAGATCACACCCAGAATAGCATGTCATTTGCGCAATGGGCGTTCGAAGGGTGAGCAAACCGGATCACGCATCGGAATCTTGCATATTGAAAAGTCTTGATGGAATCGCGCTCTCAGTTCGTGATCATATCGTCCTATGAGCAGAGCTCAGCACCTCGCCTACATAGCTACCTATACAACATCAACTACGCCTACTCCGTAACGAAAGTAGAGCTGTCCCATCCATACACCTTCTTCAAGCGCCGGGAGTAGATCAGAAGGAGTCGCCCCTCGATACTTGCCTGATGCGGCCGATGGAGCGTTAGATTCCTGCGCACTGACACCTTCTCAGGAGGAACAAACGTGTAGACCGAGCCGACTTTGGGGTCGATTATGAAGCCGAAGTCTGTCATGGCAGCTACAAAGGCATCCCAACGTACTGGGCTACGAGCTGCTGACGATCGAGAGAACAACGACGAGAAGACGGCGGCAGTGGAGGGTTTGACGTAGAAGGTCTCCTTTGATGAAACGGGCTGGTCATCTGTGGTGTCTTGTGGCGTTATGTCGTAGACGGGGGTTTGCGCCGGTCGTGTCTTCTCCTTCTGTTTGCGCTGCTCGATATTCGATGCTGGGGTCTCGGGAGCTGTTGGTGCTTTGTACTCGGCTTGGCCTTGACTAGCTTTTGCCTTTTGCTGCTCGTACTGTTGCTGGATGCTAGACGTGCAGTTCTCGACTAGATCCTGGTAAAGAAATCCGAGCTTCGTACCCGTCTTCTCAACGACATACTGATCCAGCGTTGCAAGAGCGCCTTCAGCCATTCCTGGTTCCAGCAAGTTGTCGATAGGAATGGCATACTCACCGAGATCTATGCCATCTTTCAGTGACCTCAGTTCCTTGTCCAGAGCTATATGACCTGGTACGAATGGCTGGCTTTTTTTGTGGTTCGGTGCGGGTAATTGCGCGACTAACGAAAGAGATTGGATGAAGGTGACGATGATGGCCAGGTCTCCGAGACAGTCGTATTCACGTTCCGAGAAATTGTCTCGCTCTAGCGGATGGGCTCGATGGAGATCTTCTAGCTTTTGAAGCCACTGCGCAGCCCCGGACCAGTTTGTATCCTCCTGGCAGAGTCGAAGCATGTAGTGTAACTGCGGGTTCTCTACTGTTAAAGACTCGGGGCTTCGCTTCAGCAAGATGCGCGGAACGTCGTCCTTTTGTACGGTCGACATGCGCTTGAACCACTTGCTGCCTCCCATGCCGACGGCCACACTACGTTTGAATCCGTTCTGAGCGCGCAGATACTCCAGATGGCAAGTGTTCGACAGCTCCTTGAGGATAGTCGCTCGGAACTGTTTGTCTGATGATTCCTTCAGCAAATCCATGAGACGGCCAATGTAGTTCCATGTGGCAGCGATCTTTACCGCGTTCTGGACGGCATCGAATACAGCACCGCTGATGTATTTGTCTGTATGTACAGGCAACATACGGCCCTTCTCGTCGGCAACAAGTTCTGGCCTACTGAAGAAGCAGAAGTTGACTTCATGGGCTAGAAGCGTAGGCTCAGTGGAGATGAGACTAATGAGATCTTCACGCGACGACCTCTGATCGTGAGCCATGTCGACGAGGTCTGAGAGCTCGAGCTTCTTCGGAGCCGAGTGTACGGACAACTTTGCTAGAGCTGCAGTCGCCTCGTCGGCTGGCTTCTTCGGGCGCTTCGTCTGGGTTCGCGTGGTAGACGCGGTGTCGAGAATGTCTTCAATGCTGATGTTGAGTAGCTGCATCATGTTCACCTGTCGCATGAGAATTAGCTCGCCAGTAGCTTGGGGTACTATGACTTGAGCTTGTATGGCCGGCTTCATGTTTGCCAAAACCTCTTCCCGCTTTTCTGCGAGGATCTGGACCGATTCGCCGTAGCCATCCTCCGTCAAGAAAAGCGTGTAACAGTTCTTGAATTGGGCGGCGTCTTGGAGCCGTAGGTTCTTCCTCTGCATCATATCAACTATATGCGCGTGATCGCCTGGACGTCCATTGAACCCTGTCGCGTATTGGTCTTTGAGTGGCAGGGTTGCCCGGTGCTTTAGCATATCGAGGAAGAAGTTTGATGAAGGGGCAGTGATGTCGCGTATATTCCATTCGGGGATGAACTTGTAGACATTCTCTAAGCTCGTATCTTCAGCATGCTTCAGGACAGCGCCATCACGAGAGCCAGCCTGCATGATTTTCTTGCGTTGTTCTTGGCTAAGCGAACGCCACCTCTCTTCGATCCGGGGGCCATGCTGTCGGTATTTGTTGGCAAGATCGCGATGGAGTTCCCTGAGTGTTTCGTTCATTTTGTCTGCGTTGGTGGGAGTTGGGCGTGGGAAGTGTGATTTGCCGGGGGTTTTGTCGCGGGTTGATCCAGGTACCACGCTAGAAATCGCTGTCGGCCGGACTGCACTAAGCCTATCTTGTCTTGGAGCGGTTGATCCAAGTCGTTCACGAGTGAGAGGTATCTGCGGTCAACACAATCATTGAGTTTGGATATCCCGAGCCTGATTGGAGGCAAACGATTACGATATTGAGTTGAGCCATAGTCCGATAGGTAGATCACGTACCTTGCGGCAGTCATGTTACGGCAGTGCTGCAAGCCACTTTACGCCACGAGCAGAATATGTGTACATTGTGCTTGTGTGTTGCATCTAGCGCAGCCTATCGGAAATGCATTGAGTTCTGGTTGGCGCGTGCCCGGACCAAAATCTAGCGTGTAGGCGCAATCGAGATAATTAAGGGTCTTTGAGCTGAGGACAGGTTCTGTATAAGGTACATGTCTCTCAATAATTAACAGCCATTTTGGAAGCGCCCTGCTACCCACACGACAGCTATGCCGCATGTTTTGGATCATGCATATGAATATCAAAGGCTCCCGCCATGCTCTGAACTCTGCAACTCAGATTTCTGATCAGTGAGATCGGTTTGTTCTCCATCCCTTGCTCGCATGGATTCGCACTGCCGCCGTCGGTCTTTGACGGCGTCTATGGCCTTTTTCGTCTCCATCTCTGCAATTCCAACATCGTCGAAGAAAGACACAATGCACCTGAAATCAACTATCGGCTCCGACAACCTCAATGGTCGTATGTCCACGGAAGCTATCATTGGCCTTATTGGTGTGGTTGTAGCCGTGTTGGGAATCGCCCCTTCGCTAGCGTGGTCCAAGCGGAGGAAGTCGCGCAGCGGATCCCGTCGCAGTCCTACCCCAGATGGTGCGTTCTCATGCTGCGCTCTTCCCACTTCAAAAGACGGCGAAGCTGACATGGAGACTTTTACTTAGAACTGATAAATTTCAACTATCCGACGTATGGCCATGCCTTCACACCGTTGCAATCGGCCAGTACCTGGGCGCTCACAGCTAGCGATGGCGAACAGGCACCGTCGCATGAACAGTATTATCATGTACACTATGAGCGATTGACGATACGAGGCTCGCTAAGATAATAGGTGTCGAGAAAGTCGAGGTAGCATGGTTTTAAGGGTTCCAAGGTTGGTTCACGGTCGACAGGAGTGTTGCATGTTCAGAAGTCTACCCACCGTATTACTATGGCATTCTATCATTCTCATTGAAAGCCCATTGCACGCTCTCCGTTGCCAAGTATGAAGCGTTTACAAGCCCGGGCTACACAGTAAACTCGCATGGGCGGCGAACTTCAAATACGGCTCGTCTGGGGCCGCGACGTGGAGACATGGTGAAAGAAGAAGCGGTATCGTCTTTTGTCCCGTGCTGGAAATGTATAGTCTCGTGCCGAAGCAAGCGTGGGCCTTCCAAGTTTGGGAGCAGAAGACGGAAGAAATTGCCGCCGCGGGGTCTCTTGCCATCGCTGCACCTTCTTCGTGCACGGTCTTGCTGCCGGATCTTCGCCTTGACGCTGGCGTATTTTACCACCCAAAACCTCCTCCGAGCCCCGCACACTCTTGTTGGCACCTGTTTGAAGCACGCCGCCCGCATGTTCCCCACACTGGCGTGCACTGCATTGCGAAAACCTCCTCCGAACTTCATACGAACGCTGTCTAGCCAATCAGAGGCCGAGCCGAAGATGGACAAAACATCTACGAAAACCTCCTCCGAACGGCACGAGAATTAGTGATCTGCCCACAATTCGTATAAAATGCCTTCCTCACAGCGCTCACTCCGCGCTCACTCATTCGACTATCTCTCTCTTTCTTGCTATCTCAAAGTATCAAGATCTTTGCTCATTTCCTAATCGCTCAAGATGGCTCCTCACAGACTGCAAGTCGCTGTTGCCGGTCTCGGCCGCATGGGCGCCCGACACGCTTTGAACATC